TCCATTGAATGATCTAAAGGACTTATAAATAAAATGAGAAATAATAGATTTGTAGCCTTAGACCCATAATCTAGTGGCGTTGATCGCGTTGGAAAAAAATGCGCTATTTTTCTTGTCTTTTTTTTTCTTTTTCTCCCCATAAAAACTGGCCTAAACCCTGTTTTTCCTCTAGTAACTTCTACAGCTCAACTAGTACAGTAATGTATCGAGTATAACACTAGGCTAACACTATCCATGCAAAATCCTGCTTTCGTCTTCGCATAGCGCCCATTGCTTGTTCATTGTTGGTAATTATGCTATGCATCGTTTAACTTGCGAGGGATCCCAACAACACTAAAAACAGGTAATTGGCAGCTGAGGTGTATTCCCATGGAAGCGGATTTCTTAAATTATATGGCTCGCGATAGGGCAACGTACCATGTAATGGTGAGCTGAATGGTAAGAGATTCAGCAAGATATGGGCCTTACAGAAATTGCAAACAATCAAGGGAAGGATTTTTGGTCGAAGTAGCAGTCAGAAAGGGATGCACACTGTCAGATGCTGTTTAGAATGCTGTCTAAATCTGCCTTCTAAACAATTTTTGGAAGAATTTATGAAAGCTTCCAGTGCTGAAATATGTGCGCTTTTTGAACATGTGCTCCACAGTATCTCAAGTTCAGCCTAAAACAAAAGGCAGGAGGTTGCTTCATCACAAGCATGTTTCTACCATATTTGGTTCTTGCGCTACTGTTTTGAGAGTCAAGTAAAATTTTGAGCATTTTTTACCCTGGTCTTGCAAGCCATCTCTGACAGAACAAAAGTTTATAACCCTCTTTAGAGAAGGCATATTTAGATTTAGTGTTCCAAGTTACATTTAACGCTATTTTTGTAAAGGACACTTCAATTAAGTACCGTTCATTCTAAAGTAACCAAATCACGAAATGGGCAGAGGAAGGTAAATATTGGTTTTTAATAAGGCATAATAGTTATCAATTCTTCGATTTAAAAAGGAATAGTAAATTTGGTGAACTAGGAAGACAAAAGCATTTTTATCCATGATTGATTTCGCTGTTTGATTTTTACAAGTCCATTACAGAACTCAAAGTTATTTTGATAATAATATTGGGGTTAATGTTAGTTTGGCCCAAAATACTGCAAACATACGCTTTCAAGCAGTTTTAGCCATTGATTGTCATAAACTAATCTTTTTTTAACTTTTGATTTTGTAGCTTTTACGGCGGACGAAATACTAGAGGAAGAGCAACTTACTTGTGTTTTTGCTTTCAGCATCTATCACTAGGTCCAAAGCATAGCCATGAAATGTCCATGAGCCAAATTTTAAATAGCAGACTTGATCATCGAATGGGAACCTAGTAGCAACTTAATTCCAAGTTTTGTAACTGTAAATCAAAGATTGCGCTAACCAGGTAACATCTAATTTACAGACAAATTTGAGTACACCAGGTGGTATCCAATTAACATCACCTGAGGAATAAACCAATAAATTACTTTTGAAAGTCGAGTCGAAGTCTTCTGCTGCGCTGAAAATTCAAAATGTGCAAAATCGTGGGAACTCAAATTACAAAGAATCATTGGAAAACACCTATTGTATAGCAATATATCCGGTCTCCAAATGTGATCTGCAGAGCCAGGAAATCGTATATCCTGTATGCCTTCGTACTTATTTGGATCCCAAGCTAAGCTGTAGTCATGCCAAGTCTGCAAAAACCTCTCAGCAGTTATTAGGTAAGAAAACATGTAATAATAAATTACATATAAAAAAACTGAGTAAAAACCTAATTTTGAATTGATCTTTTTATTATATATGAAAAAATAACGTACATAGCTGAGCCAAGCATTCAACGAAACAAGTTGATTCTTTTCATCAACGTCCAATATTTGCTGGAGAAACATCTTGATTTTTACAGTCAGGGGTTCTGACGCGTTAGCAACGGGACGTTCAAGCGGATTGTATCCTGAAAACCAGGAGTGGTATCATTCACTTTTGAAAGGGCATATGAATCTGTAAAAAGCATATAAGTCACTTATGGAAAGTACAGTAAGTACTAGTTAGATACATCAATCTATGTAAGGATCAATCAACATAAAGTACAAACTATTGCTTTTCCTTTAGAACTTTTGACATCCGTTAGCTCCTCCCCGAAATGGGGATGTTTGCTCTCAAGTCATTGTCGAAACACTTCACTTTTTTCTATCGCTGGCTTCGAATCGTCTGCTTTAGAAGAAAAAGGTCTCAGATAAAAGTTGTAAATCGCAAAAGTTCAACCTATAACAGGATATAGGTCTATTTTACTAAGGATGGCGCTATAAAACTTTTTTGCTAGCAAATGTGGAAGTCGTGACCACCAGTATAAATAAAATTTGTACAAAAATTTAACTCACTTTCGTAGTATTCCGTTTAAAGCTTCTCATTTCTGTTGTGAAATGAAGGTTTTAAAAGAGAAGGAAAATGATTAGACGTAGGAAAAATTCCTATTTTAAATTAAAATTTTTGTTGACGCAAGAATAATAAGAGTGAATGGAGAAAGAAGGCATCACTGAATAGCGAATTACAAATCAATGAGACAATCAGCCGAGTACATTTCTTTTCAATGGTCACTACTGAATAAGATAAGGAACACAACGGACCACTTTATAAAAGTGGGAAGGATCCCAAAATGTGCTGTAAAATCAGTTTGTGACAAGAAAATAATCAAGGAGGGCCTGGCTTAGGATAAATAATAAACAAGAAACTAAGAATGTCTTGGGCTTTTTTTTTCAAAAATTGTATAGCTAAGATAGTTCACCAAATTGTATGCATATCTGAGTTTTTGCCCTTAAAAAAACATGCTAACAGAGTTAATTCATATAGAGAGTTTTGACAAATGTGAAAATATCTTTGGTTCTTCTGTTAGGATATAGGCCTAACTGTAAAGGGCTATATACAGGCAAGCAACTGCTCGATCTCTTTGTAGAAAAAACTATGGAAAAATCTTCTATTTGTTCATTCTGAAACCAAAAAAAAAA